TTTGCTGCCCTAAAACACTCTGTTCAGGCCACCTTGAAAATAAAGGTCTTGTAGCTACAATTCTGTTCCCAGGTATGGCGCGCATCAGGCTTCACAGACAGTGGAAATAGCTTCTTCCCGGCTTTGCACTGCGAATCAGCCCCACAAAAGCGCTGGCTTTCGTTTTGCAGCTTCTCAGGTTCTTAATAAGGATTTAGAAACACATACCATCACAACACTCATCAGTTATTCAACACCTTCGTCTTTGGGCCTGTGGTGTTGTATGTAAGGTCAGGTCTTCATGGATTGGAGAAGCACAGGCAGAATCAAGGCAGATCCTCACGGCAGGTAGCACAGACAGAGGTTCACGCCGTTGTGGCTACCACCTGTGGCCACCCAGTTGCTGGATCTCAGGCAGCCTCCAGGAGTATAGGAACCAGGGGCCCTCGTTCGGTCTAGGGTTTTTGGTCACGGGATCCGCATTGTTGTACTTGTTGGTAGCTTAGTGGACCCGTGTTACTGCCTGAAAGTAACAATGGAAGTGGATGAAACATGGGCCCTTGAAATACCCTTTTCCTCTATAGAAACAGGGGGTGAACTCTACTTTCATTGTATTGGTTTCAGGGAGAGTTAATGGACTCTGATTATGAATCCTTTCACACGCTCCCATGATTCAGAGCGAACATCTCGAAGCTTCAATCTGCTTTGCAAGTCTCACCATTTTGATCGGACAGTGTCCGAGAGTCATGCTGAATAGCTTAAGATAGTTTAATTCCTCAGCCAACGGATGAAGAATTGATTGACACTTGTGGTCCTTCACCCCACAGAAACATGATGCGGGGTAGGTTTGTTGAACTGATCTCAAGACAACCCCCCCAAACAAGGAATTTTTTGAGAGCCGTCTATATAAAAGTTGCCTGGTCAAAACTATCCCTCTTGAAATACCCAAATCTTACACATCGCCATGCCCTAGGGTTCCAAATATACCTTGTATACGAAGGTGTTTGGTGCCAGGAGGCTCCAGTCATAGCGAACCTGAGGATGTGTACCCAACTTTGGTAGATCTCATGTCATCAATCCCAACCAAAAGAGACCACCCTGACCTCCACCCCCTGCCAGAGCGACCCGGTCGACCGGATGGATTCGCGGTGCGCATCCGCTGCGCCCGCCCAGTTATCCCGAGCTCTCGTGCGCCATGTTGACGCGCTGCATGATCAGTCCAGTGGAAGAGACCGGGCTACGACCCAAGCAGGCGGTCCGTCTGACCGTTTACGGGCCGGGCCGACGGTGGGCAGGAAGAAGGAAAACAGTGTGACATCTTAGTGGATCTCCTGGTGTTCTGGTGGTGTTGCTTGTGATTTTTCTGGTGGTGGTTTGCTTGTGGTGGTGGTGTTGCTAGTCGGGCTTTTTTTGCTAGCCGGTGGTGTTGCTGGAACCCTGGTGTGGTGGCGGTGGTTTCGGTGCTTTCGTCTTTGTAGACGGGTGCTATCGAAGGTTGAAGCTCGCGAGTTCTCGTGCCGAAAAAGGAGTGGGAAGTTCTTGAGGCCGAAGTAGAGCTCACCCTTATACCTCTTCAGAGCAGATCATTCACAAACAGTTACACAGTGTGTTTTGCTCTTGGGTATTAGACCAGAATGCAACGAGAGACGAAGCTGCAACAACACCCTTCATCATTACAGCTCAACATGGCCCCTGGAGTACATTACATTTTGTTGAACCCAGCTGGAGCTGACAAGGATACCAGCAATGTTAAAGGGGGCAACGCCCTTGCACGGTCAAACTGGCTGACGGACCGGCCCTTGTTCGTGCCACGAACCGTATTTTGTTCAGTATTTTTGGGGTTAAGATCTGCTCGGGTTAGGTGCCAGAATGTTTTGAATCATCGTTTCGTTGTCGCTTCCCTTGTCGCCCAGATCTGATCATGTGTTGGTGCTTGTGAGGTAAACTCGATGGTTTCACTGTCGACATTCCGTCTTTTACAGCCTTTTGCTGCCACGTTCATTGTAGGAGGTTTTGAATTGACTTCCACAAATGAGGCAGTGGACCAAAAACTAAACCCTATGCCACATGGATGACATCAACGGTCTTGGTTTTTGTCCGCCCATCCACCATCCACTGACTCCACGTGGCCCAGCCTATCCAATCTATCTACGGTGGTGGACGACGGTGGTAGACTGCGCTGCAGGCGGTGAACTTCCTGAAGATCTTCGTTTGTTTGCTACGAGACCGGGCCTTGTCTCATACGGGTTTGAAGCGCCTGGCCATCGGCCTGGAGACCGCCTTATTGATGGACAGCCCCAAGGCCTGCGGGCTGCGCATGCGGCGTTTTTCGGGCAGAAGTCCGGCTGGGGAGCGGTTCAAGTGATTGAAGTGGTCCAGGAATTGCCATGGTCAGTTCGTTGGTGTGATGTTTTTCTGTAGGGTGGGATGAAACGGAACGAAGGAGCATGCGATTCCAAATCGAGATGTGAGATCGAGTATTCAAAAAACAGGAGGTTCCAGGTTCGCTTGACCGGTTCCTTGCTTAGAACACTTCATGTTCTTTGACTTCTTTCATGTCACACCGTTCAACCGTGGGCCGTGGTTGGCGTGACCGTTGTCGACCGAGCAGGATCGCTTTCGCTCGGGGATCGGTTGAAGGCGGTGTCCCGACAGTGGCCCCGGGTTAACCACCTTATGCCAGTCCCATGGAGTGTTTGGGATACCAAACAATGGTTTGGATGCAAACGGATTCAAGATGATTCAACAATTTCAATCCACAAATGATGTGAAGCAACAGAATTAGCGACTCGTATGTGGATGAGCTCCCACTAAATCGACTTAACATAGATACCTAATAATAGGATCCAAGCACAAGTCATACGTCAACAGTCAACAAGCTTATCCTCGAAACCTACAGCGATCCAATATCAGTTCGTCTAACAGTCTATCACACACAACCCGTTTCTTTTGTTGTAAAGCTTGGCGAGTCGGTCGGGGATCTATCTGAATTGCACCGCTCCTTTGGTTTCCGGAGCCACCATGAAATCGAAGAACAGGAGCAAATCCAATGGAAATCCAATGGGAATCTTTGCAGAAAGATCCAACAACCTGATTTTTGGACATGGAGGTGTCGGTTTGTTTCTGTTTATTCTTATCCGTTTTATTCCACACCCTTTGGGCACTAACAGCCTCTTGTTTTCAGGCAAAGGTCCTGGTTAGCACTCAACCCGCCAGGGGCTTTGCGGCATCCTAGCCCAGAGGGAGTATGAGCTCCTGGCCGATTTATTGGAGGCCAGGGACTCAGGTGTGGGCGGGTCAAACGGGTTGACTGTTTCACTCTGATTGGCTGATTCTGTTCATTGGTGACCGTATTAGTCAGTACTAGGACTGATTCTGTTCATTCGTGGTTGAACCAGGGGCTCAAGGTTTTGATCCACAGCCAAGTGGAAAACATATGTTGCAGCCAAATGCATAGCTTCATGAAGCCTGTCAGGCTAGGTTATACCTCGTACAAATGGCAGGAGTGATTTTGGGAAAACACTGCATGCTCGATACATCTCGATACAGTAGTTTTTCTCATCGTTATGAACATGGAACAAATTGCCCTCGGTTCAGTGTAGAGTACACTTTTGTCGGACCCCTTCAGTATTCTTGGCTCGAGACCTTAAAGAGATTCCGTATTGATGCCACTATGCGGGACGGAAATGAAGAACAAGGGTATGGAGTCAGCCTGGAATAAGGCTTGGGACATTTCCTGACGCTTCAGTCCTACTGCTGTTTGTTGAAAAAGGCTCGCTGTAGGTGCATGTATATAAAAATTTACTTCACAATGACTTCAGAGGCCGTACATGACCTTTGTTGAAAAGGTCGTTCCAGTTGAGATATGATGGGCTTTGGAGCAATCATATATCATTCTCATTCTGGATCTACGCGGGAACTCTATTCATAATTGTAATGTAGGAAGGAAATGGCCGGAGGATACATCCGCGAATTTAACATAACATCCAAATCATGCCAAATCAATGGCCGGAGACCTCACCAGGTTCCTTCTACACAGATCATGGTGAATCGGTCGGGTGTCGCCTGGGCGCAACCCGCGGGGTCACGTCGGCCGCGGGAGACGGCCGCGGGACGCTTCGCGACGGTCGCCCCGTGGGGCGCGTGGAGCGGAGAAAGGCACTGTCCACCTTCCAAGAATCCGCCCGGATGCCCGACGCGTGGACGATTTCGTCAGTCAGTCGGAGGTAGGATCTTAGAATCAGGTGGCTAGGAGAGGTGGTCAACAGGTGTTTCTCCTTTGATTTTTTTGGGGGGGGTGGAGGTGGTCTCGAAGAGAATCAACGGAAAAAGGATGAACAAAGGCGTGATTGGTTCTTAATTAGTTGATTGATGTTTCCTATCTTTCCTGGTTCAGAAAATATCATGTGTTTATCATACAGGTGCCTTGTTGGTGTGCAGCATCTCAACAGAAATTCTTCATCTGGGCGTTGCACTTCCTCCACTTCGCTGCCGAGCCACTTCGCGTGGGGAGTAGCAGTCTACGAAGGTGAAAGCTAGTTTGAACATATGTGCAGGATTTCCGAGGAATGTGCTAGTGCCCACACTCTTCAAGTGCCAGTATTTACCCTTCAATGGGACATGACTTGGACATGACCCTAAAGTTTAGCCATCTTTGGGTTGAAGTGGTTGCCGTTGTGAGAAATCTTACAGTATCAGTCATCCCTTCCGGAAGCCACACACACAAACCTGGAAGATCACTTGTTGAAGGAACAGTTCTCGTATACCGTCTAGATCCGTCTATCATCTCTCAGGACATATCACCAGATATCCAGTGTGGCACATGTATGCCGTTTCAACTTACTTACTGTATATTTTCAAGTTCACCAGTGGGTCCCTTAGGGAGAGTACAGTTGATCTGCTGCCTGGATTGACTCTTGCACAGCAACGAAGCCGCATCCTCCGCAGCCATTGGCTTCAGCGAGCCAAGACCCCCTCTGAAACGGGGCACAGCTCGCTCCCCAAATCAGTCCGGCTTCGGACGGAGAGAAAGCTCGCGCACAAAGCATGCGCGTTCGTGTCCAGTGCTTGTGTTTCATCTTCTTCACCGAAGTATGCCACTTGGTGCCCAGTTGAAGGAGTGTAAGTGGTCGGCTAGGTGCTATGCTTGCTTGGCACTACTGGGTTGGTGTAAGAGTGTCAGCATTGACTACGAGCTTATATAAATAAGCGAATCCACAAAGGATGGGACCACAAACAACTCATGACTCATGCGTTCTTTTTTTTCACAGGATGGTTTGTGGTTCGTGTTGTGCACACAAAAAGACGGATTTGTTGTCAGATGTGGAATAATTTAGATTGAAGCCCACATCAAGGAAAGTAGTCTCCCCCAGGGGTTCGTGTCCGGGAAGATCTCAAGCGTTTGCCGCAAAAAGGTGTGTCCAAACTGGACAACAAAAAGTCTGCTATTTTCGCCTACTGTCACAAGTCCATGTGAATAGTTGGACATCCTGTACTGTATGGCAAGCTGGGTGGTGCAGGATGTCTTTCAACAGTGAGACCTGAGAGATATTTCAGAACAGGTAGACGGAACTCACCTGTGGGTTCACCTGTGGGTTCACGTCCTCGCCCCCCTGAATTATGACCTCTCATAAAGTCCTCCAAGACCACGTCTTGGAGCTGCTTATCCCGGCCTCAGGCTCGGTGTGCACAGACCAACCACCCCCAGTCCCACCGAAAATGGAGGTAGGACTGGAGCCCTGCTTTGGGGTATACCTGGATTTTCCAGCTATGTGAGTGTTCTTCCCTTTTCATCCACTAACATCAGAAACTTAAACATAGTTGGAAGATCTACCCTATATGAATGAACCAAAGTACTCGTTCAACTGGTCTCCCGGCTTCGCAGGGCGTTTGGTATCTCATGGTACATGTGTTTCTCAGAGGACCCGATCGACACTCCGAGTCCATCGATCTGTCACCGACCGCCATCGACGACGGCCGCGCTCGGCCGAACCCGAGGTGTTGGGCACGTTGTCCCAGAAAGCTTCCTCCACTTTGCCTCCACCGCAGCTTGACCCCGTGACTTCCTGTGTGTGTGTGTGTGTTTGTTTGTTTGTTTGTTTGTTTAAAACTTGATATGAGGTTTAGACCATTTGAAACCTGTTGTGTGTGATAACAGGTTTTTGGTGGGGGATGGTTTTGGCCATTGATGAGCTTTAAGCGGCAAGTGCATGGAATGCAGGGGGGGAATGGATCCAGGCCGAGGCAATCAGAAGGATGAGGTCTTAGCAGTCGGACGCACCTATAGTGACACTTCCCGGCATATTTGTCAACATGGCAGCTGTCTATAGGATCAAATGATGTCCAAAGAGTTGTTGTTTCACGACTTTTGAGTTGATGCATGTCTTAGTCTTCCAGGAGTCACAGAGCTCCGGGTGGTGTGGTGTTTAGTCCCATCCAGTGAGTGGGTGTGACAGGGAGTGTGACAGGGGCACCCCGACTTCCTCCATGTATATAGCACCCTTTTGGGACTGCTGGTTGTCTATTTCTTTGTTTTTACTGCCAAATGCATCCAATTCAGCATGTGTTTGAGCGACATCCTTCGATTCGTCAGACTTGGACTCGTCCGACATCAAAGCGACATGTTTGGCCGAAATTGGTTGTTACCTCCCCCCCCCACAGATATGCCAATCTGGTCACCAAAGGGACCGATCTTCGATCCGCTTTCCGGATCTATCACCCATGACCTAGGTCTTCAGATACCCAATCCAATCCCATCCAGCACCCAACATCACCCAACCCATCAATTCACGAGTTCGAAGGAATCCACATCAATCCTATTGATTCACCACGGAGAGCTTCGACGACGTCGATGACCCCCGTCGTCGATCGGTCGAGGAAGCGCAGGAGAAGCGCCGAAAGGCCGGGGTTTTCGGGGGCATCGCGGATCGGTGTTTGGGGATTCGTTCGGGCAGCCGCCACTCCATATCCAGTGTATGCAACTATGAAAAGAACGTACTATTCCATTATAATATTCTATATCCTGTTTATGGAATATGCAAAGAACATTACAGTTATATGCCCATGTATGACCTATAGATGCTGGCACGCGTATATAAAGTATTCCAGTCCCATGAAGTATTTCTTTAAATAAAGAGAGGTTTCGTTTCGCTGAGCTCCGGACACATCCCGACATAAGGGGGTCGGCAGTGCCTTGTTTCCATCTCTTTCCAGCATCGAGACAGAAGGGAGAAGAGATGGAGAACAGAAGAGACATAAGAGATCTCATGAGATCTCCAGATATTCCCAGGTTCTTTGACCGGAACCTGATGGCATGGACCCTTTATAGAAGATGATTGAAGACTATCTTCCTCTACAGCCCAGTGGTTTTCTCAGGTTTTCTCCTGTTCCATCCCTGGTCTCTTCCAGGGCATCGGGCCTACGGGAGCACCACGAAGTTCTCTTCCTGGGACGTACGAAACCCGCCCCTCCTCGGGTGCCTCCGCAATGCAAGGCCCGCGATGAGATTAAAGCGGAGCAGGATCAATTTCATCAGGAGTTGAAGGAGAGACCAGAGACCCGCCAGAGATCCAAGACCCAACTCTGGATTGAGTGCATGTGTCAAAGGCTAGCCGCGACTGAAACAGGACTATGGACTGAGTATGTGACTCTGGATCAAATGGATTTGTTGGGGTTGATGAACACCGATTAATTAGGTGCTATTGAGATGCTGTTCCAGTTGATGTATGCATGCTACCATTTTCCTTTTGAGGACCTGACTGTCAGGATGTCAGCTTAGATGACCAACAAATTGGTGTCATAATAATTGTCATAATATGGTGTCTATCTAACCCATCATCTAAGGAATGGTCAGAATAACCCGGTGTTAGTCAGGAATGGTGTCGATCTATGCTTATACTTCACTGGGACAAGCACCTTCCCTTGCTCTGCCCTTGCCAGCCGTCCGCACCACCGGTCTGGCCGATTGCCAACGTCGCGTCGGGTTTGTCTTCGGTGGCAGGAGAAGAAGAAGCGCTTGGACAAAGAGTTAGAAGACCAAGCCAAGGTGCCACTGATTCGTCCGCGTGCAGTTAGGCAAGTCCGGCAAGACGTCCGCATTCGTTGGTTTTGGGCGCGTCCGTAGGTGTCTCGGCTTGGGGGCTTGGTGCCATTGCCACAGGAAAGATCTTTCGCATCTCAGTTTCAGTCTAGTCAACACCCACACATGGTCGATGAAACGTTTGATTTCGTTCACCGTTCGTCCCTTTCACAGCATCATTCATCTTCATAATGACCGAGTCTATACGTCTAGCCTTCAAGTATCTTTAGTTTACCATGGCTTACCTGGTGTTGTAGTGTACAAATACGTACACATATTAAGTGTGTTCTATGGTGTTCCTTGGTATTCAGCATAAAATTCCATGCTTGTTGGACTCCGGGGGGGTAGACCCATGACCCTCCTTCTGCGGAGAATCTCCTCCCTTGGCATCAACCCGATGGTCGTCTCTAGCCGTTCAACGACCTGACTTCATCGACCTGACTCAGTGGGGGGGATCATGGGAGAGCTGATTTCATGCAAACCTGACTTGAATCGATCCTGCTGCATCTAATTACAATTACAAGATCTGACATGTACCTAAATATAGATCTCCCAATTGATATGCCAAGTTTCTGCTTAACGAACTTGGCTGGTGTTATGGATGAAAAGACAGACATTTCGCATGTCGTTGGAAGATCTGACAATGCCAATGTTCTATTCCCTAACAATCCATGGGACTAGATCAGTTGGGGGAGAAACACGCCCATCAACTGGCTCAGGAGGAGAAGTTTCTGGAAGAGGAGGTCCAACGACTTCGCAAGGCGAGGAGGTCACGTTTACTCAGTTTACTCCGTAAGGGACGGATGAGGTTGGGCTGCCGGAACTTAATAGTACTCAGGTGTTGAAGATTTGCTCCTCGCGGCCGGCTGAGGGACCGTGGGCTCCTTGCCCATTGTTTGAAAGCGTGGCTTCTACAGCGAGCTAGCACATCCAATGTTGCCGAAAGTTCAGCTGCTTCACTTCACTTATACCATAGATTGCCTTTTACATCCTTTTACTATTGTTTGGATGATTAATAGAGCGGATACCCATGGATACCGGACCCCCCAAATGTATAGCCAATAGGTAAATAGGTAGCGGACCCTTTCACCCGGCATCACGTCACGGAACTCGTTGGGCCTTGGATCATGGTCTGAAACCGAGGGCCGACGAGTCCCTCTAAGGATCTTCTTTCTGGAAGACTGTTTCCTCTACACACAGGGAGGATGTGATTGTTGGAGGGAGAGTGTGTGATGAGTAACTAAGATGCTCAGGATGAGTAGAGAGAGGGTATTTTCCATGTGAAAGTTTTGAGCATTTAATTTTCGGATGTACATGTACACATGTGACGTTACATAGTACATACACTATTTTGTTTGTTGACCTTACTGCTTTGGCTAGGCCAAGATTTCAAGGTGAGTCAGGTAAGTGAGCACAGGTACGAGAAGAGCCCCAGCTTGTTCTGCCTGTTGCCTTGCGACTTTGGGTGGGTCGATCCGAATCTTGAGCTTTTGCCGTGGGCAATAGGTGTTTGTTCATGAACATGTCCTTGCTGCAGCATGTTGGAAACAGTTTTGAGTAGTTTTGGCAGGTTGGTCGAAAGAAGGAGTCGAAAGCGAAACCAGTCTCTTGGCTTTTGAACCAACGTGGACAAGCAGGCAGTCAGGATGTGAGCATCAGCTTTAGGATTTTGTTTGGTTGAGGAACGTGTTGTGAAAAGAGCTTGGCAACAAACGCATTGAACTTTGATGTCCAAGTTTTTACATTTTCTCCTGGATGTAGAAACAAACATGTTCTTTCAGCTCGAGATGGCTCAAGATGTTCAAGCAAAGAAGTCAGTTTTTTCTTTGAATCACATCTGAACTACAGCAAGGGATCTGGTCCTTGGATTGACATGAACAAAAGAAGACAACCTTAGAGGTTCACAAGTCGGTCGAACCAAAGGGATCGAAGTGGCTCCTCCGAGCTTCCGACGATAGTAACTATAGTGTATCCGTTCCATCAAACATACCTCCGCCTCTGCCAAGCTTGTCTAAGGCCTGAAGCCTGCACAGCCGTTTTTCCCGAGAGATTCACAGGCTTCGAACACCTCTGCAGCCTTGATCTTGTTCTGTGGTATACTTGTCTTGTTCAGTGGGCTATGCTTGGAACATGTTAGGAGAGCTCATACCGGCACGATAGTCCCGGACGTTGGAACCGGGAACCCTGCCTCCAACAGAACCGAGGCATCCTTCCTCGAGCAGAGTGACATGAAGGCCACGGTCTGCGGGGGGGGGTCTGCGGGCTGGAAGACATCCAACGACCCGGCGAATGGAGATGGATTTAATTGGATTTATATAGGGTGTAGCCCATTTACCAGTAACAGTCAGTAAAAGATGATCACTATTTTGAGGTGTAGGCCTGCAACTGAACCATCATCATCCACGGTTACTGGTAATGGGATATACCCAAGATTTGTAAAAGGACATGTTGGATGACTACGGAGAACCAGCAACAACATGCAACAACGATCCATGTTTCTCCTGCAAGAACACAGACTGTATATATTCAATATCTCTTTGCATGGGAGAGATAGGCACAGCACTTGCATGGTGAGCCTCGAAGTGCAGATTTCGTGGCAGGTGCAGCGCTTGGTGAACCTTGAAGGGCAGATTTCGTGGCAGGTGCACCACTTTGTGAACCTCGAAGTGCAGATTTCGTGGCAGGTACAGCACTTGGTGAACCTCGAAGTGCAGATTTCGTGGCAGGCGCAGCACTTGGTGAACCTCGAAGTGCAAATTTCGTGGCAGGCACAGCACTTGGTGAACCTCGAAGTGCAGATTTCGTGGCAGGCAGCACTTGGTGAACCACACTCTCACTCTCACCCACACTCTCACTCTCACTCACACTTGCACTCACACTCACTCTCCCACTCTCACTCACCAGGTCCCCTTTGCTGAGCGGCTGCATGGGCCCGGTCACTATAAGAGCTTTACAGCTTTGTGGCCAATATGCACTGCACGGAGTCAGAGGTGTCACATGTTCACCGAGAAATTGACAGATTTGTGGACGTTCTGCACATGTGCTGAGCCAGATCGATCACAGTTCACCGAGAGATTGACCGATTTTCATACCGATTCTGCATTGCACAGAGCCTGTGTAACTCGGAAGTTCTGGAATTTTCAAAATGCACCCTGTAGGTTAGCTCTGGAACTCGGAAGTTTCATGTTTCTATTGTCAGGGTTTTGGTGAACCATGTTTGACAGGAAAACTTTGACATTGCACGGCCGGAAACTTCGAGAAACTCGATCGAGTCTTTGGCGTCGATGTGTGTTTGGGGTTGGGTGTTTTCAGTTCTCAGATTAGTGTTTTCCCTTCCCGTGGTGTTTCCTTTTCCCAGATTGTTTTTTTTCGGTTCCCGCGGTGTTTCTGGTTCCCAGGTCTTGGTGTTTCCAGTTCCTGGATTGGTGTTTTTCCTTCCCGTCTTCTGTATTGTTTTTTGGTTCCCACTCTTGGTGTTTTCCCTTCCCGGAGTTCTCCCCCCAGGTCTGTGTGTTTTTTCAGTTCCTGGATTGGCGTTTTCCTTGCCCAGCTCCTGTGTTGGTGTTTTTGGTTCCCAGGTTTGGGTGTTTTCAGTCCTGGACAATGTGTTCCCTGCCCGGCTCCTGTGTTGGTGTGCCCTTTCACGTGTTTGTTTGTCAGCTTTCGTTCGAATTTCTGGCTACCATTGCCCACCGCTGGATTTGAAAGCACGTACTCGTGTCACGCAATTAAACAGACAAAGAACACTGCAAAACCGTCAAAGCCATTCGCTGTAAAAACATGTCAGTTTGCGTAAACCCACTGCCGCAAAAACACAAGGTACCCGGTGACACCATCATAACCGCGCACTGTACGAACACATAGACGAAAGCATCCAGGGCTTCATTTTTGGCCATGAGCGCTGGGAGACCCTCAGCGAAGAAGACGAGGCAGGTGGTACAAAGTTATCTATCATGTAGTGTATCGCTCCTACCAGGCCGTTACACCGCTGGATTTGAAAGCACGTACTCGTGTCACACAACTAAACAGACAAAGAACACCCCACTGTACGAACACATAGACGAAAGCATACAGAGCTTCATTTTTGGCCATGACGCGCTGGGAGAACCTCAGCGAAGAAGACGAGGCAGGTGGTACAAACTTCTCTATCATGTAGTGTATCGCTCCTACCATGCCGTTACAATTTGGCATGTAACCTTGTACCAGGCCAACTGGTGCTGGACCGCCAAAGACTATTTGCGCCAGCCTTGTGCCCTTACAGTGAAAACACCAGCCTGTAGCTTAATTGCAGCTGCTTCTGCTTACTTAGCTTTGCGCTGCTAAATCTGAGCCTACCAGCTTCTGCTAAATCTGAGAACAAACATCACATTGCATCACTTTTGAATCATTTTTGAATCATTTTAAATCCTGTTTGAAGCTTATAAAATCTTATTTGTGCACTTTTTTGCTTTAAAAGTGCAAAAAGGTGATTAAAATGATTTGAAAATGCAAAGTGTATTTGCAACTTTTGTTTCTGAACGTGATGTTCATTTAAAGCTGACAAGTAATGCTTTAATTTACTGTGTTTGAAAGTCAGCGTTTCATTGTCATGCCCATTTTGTTATGAGTGTTTTTAGGAAAAGGAAGAGGAACAGGAAGAGGAAGAGGAAAAGGAACTGTAAAACATAAAACAAAAAGGAAAAGGTCGAGAAAGAGGAACAGGACACAAAAAAAATGGTTTGATTTGGTTTGTTGATTATCTATTCTACTGGTTTTCTGTGTTTTTACACAAATTTGTAACCTGATCAAATCTGATCAAAACCATGGTCTTGATCAAATTTGATCAAATGTGATGGGATTGCATGTTTTGTAAAGAACCGTAACTTCCTGAATTAAAAGTTTTGTCACAGTTTTAGTCATTAGATTGTGTTTCCTCAACCCTCCTCGCCAAAAAATTGTCCACAATTTTAGTCATTAGATGTTGTTTCCTCGTAATTTTAGTCACAAAACGGAAAAGGAAAAGGAAAAGAAAAGAAGAAAAGCAAGAGTCAGAGAAAAGGAAAAAAAGTGAAAAAGAAAAGGAATAGGAAAAGGAAGGGCACAAGGAAAAGGAAGAGGAAAAGAAACCACATATTTCTTGGGTGAAGGACAGTAAGGAATCAAAATCTAATGACTAAACCTGTGGACAAAAAAAATTTGGTGAGGAGAGTTGAGGAAACAAAATCTAATGACTAAAAGCTGTGGACAAAAATTTGGTGAGGAGAGTTGAGGAAACAAAATCTAATGACTAAAGCTGTGGACAAAAAATTTGGGGAGAGTTGAGGAAACAAAATCTAATGACTAAAACTGTGGCCACTTTTTTTGGTGTGAAGGAAAGTAAGGAAACACAATCTAGTGACTAAAACTGTGGACAAAATTGTTTGGCGGGGAGAGTTGAGGAAACAAAACCTAAGTACTAAAACTGTGGGCAATTTTTTTGGGTGAGAGAAAGGAAACAAAATCTAATGACTAGAACTGTGGACAATCTCTTTGGGGTGAGTGAAATTAAGGAAGCATTTTCTAATGACTAAAGCGGTGGACAATAAAACTTGGTGAGGGAAGTTAAGGAATTAAAATTTAATGACGAAAACTGTGGACAAAAAATTTTGGTGAGGAGAGTTAAGGAAACAAAATCTAATGACTAAAGTTGTGGACAAAAAATTTGGTGAGGAGAGTTGAGGAAACACAATCTAATGACTAAAACTGTGGCCATTTTTTTTGTGTGAAGGAAAGTAAGGAAACACAATCTAATGACTAAAGCTGTGGACAAAATTGTTTGGTGAGGAGAGTTGAGGAAACAAAATCTAATTGCTAAAACTGTGAGCTGGAGCTGGATACTGGAGCTGGAGCTGGAATGCTAGTTGAATACTGTTGTATTTTTTTGTCCCGAGCTGGAGTTGCACTTATTTTGCATTTTTTGCATGTTCTTTTTCGCTGTTTTGCACTTTTGTGCTTTTTTCACTTTTGTGCACTTTGTGATTTTGCGAATGTCCACTTTTTGCACTTTTTTGTCACTCTTGTGCACTTTTTTTGTCACTTCAGTGCACTTCTGTGTCACTTCTGTGCACTTCAGTGCACTTCAAATCTTATTGGTGATTAAATTTGAGGGCACATCAGCTTTGTCAACTAAAAAACGCCTCGGTGCACCATCGTGTGGCCGCGTTCCGCCTTGTTGCTGCTGATTTGTTTGTGGGGGGATGTTGCCTGCGGCGACTCGCAGGGACCAGGGCGACAGTGTTTGTGGACCATTTTCCAAAGACAAGTTCTGACCCTTAAGAGGAGAAAAAAGTCGTTTGTGCTTTGCATCGATGGATTCTGCATTGGCTGCATTCAGTGTTTTGGTTTGTTTGTTTGGCGGCATTCCGCCTTGTACGTTGTTTTGTTGGCGGCATTCCGCTTCCTTTTTTTTGGCGGCATTCCGCCTTGTTTTGGTTTGTTTGGCGGCATTCCGCCTTGTTGTGTTTTGTCTTGTTGGCGGCATTCCGCCTTGTTCTGGTTTGTTTGTTTGGTGGCCCATATACACATGTTGAAAGAGTCCTGTCTGGCATCAAAAAAACATGTAGAATTTTCAAAATCTGGCTATAGCCATTTTCTATACATTTCATCTGGTTTTAGACAAAAACTTAGGTTTTGCAAGTTTTTTTTGCAGACGCATACCTGATTCGCAATTTTTAACCATTTCTGACGCTCAAATTTGTTACGGAAGTTACGGAAGTTAATAACTTCCGTAACTTTAGTTATAACTTAGTTATAAGTTAACTTCTATAAGTCCCGTATCTCAAGTTCAAAGTCCCGTAACTATGGGGGCCCCTCATTGTATGAGCCATTTTTCTTTTGAGACGACTTAGAATCGCACGCCCCATCAAGATCGATCCACGGTGGTTTTTCAGGGTCGATGGCACAGCCCAAAATATATATATATATGTCATGTTATGGAGTGATAGATCGAGGGTCGATAGCCACCTTTGTGGGGCGCCGATCCGACACGTGCAGCGCCACTTAACTCAGGAAGGCTCGAATGGGTGCGCGCAGACCACCGCGGCATTTGAGGCGTGCTTCCATTTTTGTTCAATTGGCTTGCCTCCATCCAAGCCACAGTGCTGTCAGATGGAAGCCATGGATGAGGACCGATCACCTCACAAGTCTCCGAATGTAATTCATTGGAGCTTGATCCCAGTCAGGATCCAGTGGCGAAGAAAAGAAAGGCAGGAACCCCTACACTCTGACCTGTAGTGGGTCATGTGGCACCCCATGCAGGTTGGTGTCCCGACGTCTTGGCTGATGATGAGGATTCTAGCATCGTCCTTGAGGCAGGTTGCAAAAACCTGAATTTTCTTCTGAAATGAATTGGTCGATCAGCCAGGACGAATCTTCGTCCTTCATGATCGACACAACGCCGACAGAGGTGCAATGTGAAGTACTGTATATTAATCTTGAACGTCTGTTCACATGAATTTGCGCAGGAGCGCGGGTTGCCAAGCCCTGAAATGATGGCTTCGACCCTGCTTGAACATTCACACTCACTCTCACTCACACTCGCACTCACTCAGTCTCCCACTCTCACTCACACTCACACTCCCTCACACTCTCACTCTCCTACTCTTACTCTCACTCTGACCCACGCTTACTCTCACCCACACTCACTCTCACTCACACTCGCACTCACACTCACTCTCCCACTCTCACTCACACTCGCTCTACCTTTCACCCACACTCACTCACACCCACCTTCACTTCATCGCCACCATCACCTCTCTGGACCCCAATGCGTCTAGATCTCTAGACTTTTTGCTTACAGACCTCACGCACTGTTTGGTGTCTCTTGCCGGGATAATACATGTTCTTTCTAGAGCTGCTTTTGGTCCTCAACAGAAACAAACTCTACAGTAGAACGCTTGATGTTTCAATGCGACTCACTGTTCAACACAGTTTTCATGTGGATTTGACGGAGTGTTCCGGAAAGGAATTTGGAAGAGAACTCGTTCAAGAGGACCGCTCCACAGATCGAGCTGCCAAAGGTGAACTGCTTCATATCTTCCCTTCTCCTGCTGGTGCTCGGCGGGGTAGCTGCACTTTTGACTCGGGCGAGGGCCCCTTGGACACATGAAGCGTTAACACGACAGCTCCCAACTGTCGCTGTGGTTTGTGTGTGCTAGTTAACCGTTTGCTAGTGAATCACATGGGTTGATGTGCATCATCGCAGTAGGGAAAACAACATGTTCTCATTGTTTTCCACTGGAGTGGTTTGCATCTCCCACAGTGGACCTCCCACCCCTTTCCTAAATTGCTAAAGACATGGAGAACTATGGGCCCGGCGTCACCGCTGTCGTGAGAGATGTTCCAAACGGGAAAGAAACCTGTCTTCATCCGCTGGATGGATAGTTTTTTGCATGGTATATAGCTTTGAACCATCAAATATTGCACAAAATCCTCCCCGAACAAAAACATTTGCTTCCATAGATGGCCTTTAAAGGCCCTTGGGTTGGTGTATTCATAGAGGATCCCCTGGTCGGACCTCATCTGTATAAAACCATTCCCGTCTGGTCGGTCATCACTTTCTGGGTCCGGTCGAGGTGGTCTTGATGGGTTTTGTTGGTGATTTCAAATGAAGATAAATGAAGCCAAGGAAAGAAGGGTTCACCGATGGTAAAGCCAATGAGGTTCCTATTGAAATCATTTCAGCGGTTTGATGGTCGAAGATGTTCCAAGCCGCTGAAGTGATAGGCCTGCGATGCTCCAAGCCCATGAAGCATGTAGTCTCCCTGAGTAAACACATCCAGGTGAGCAGCATTTTGGGGGACACTGTCTGAGAAAGACTGAACGACCAACCATGTCAATAGTACTCAAGAACATGATGTAATGGGATGTCCAACAAACTTTGAGTCTTTGAGTCACCGACTATCAGTCTCGTGAAAAAACGAATCAAAGCACCAGTCCCAAGAATCTTGCGACGAGTTTGTCATAGGGAGATTATACCAACAAAGGGGCTTCGGGGGGGAGATCTCCCCAACCAATCAACCAACACACCACACCCGACCAGCACAGTTCTTTGGGAGCACCGCCTCTCAGGCTGCCGAACCCGAGGATTACCTCCGCCATGAGCCGGAAAGAAGCGCGGGAGACGAAGCCAGAGCGGCTCGTGCATGACGGCAGAGTCTGGTGATGGGGGAGAAAAACAATATATCTGGAAAATACCGCTGAAACCGCACGACGAATAGGTCAGGTGGGATTTAATTGCCCTACAAGTAGTCGTTCCAATGTCTATACTAGTTGGAAGAAAGACATCATATTACTCGGAGATGGGTTTAGCCCACCAGTCCATATTCGAGCTACACACCCAAATGTCTTCTGTCTTCCCATGCAGGGGGTCCAGCTTTCACGCATTGCATGTTTCTGTCAATTGATCATTTCTGGTTGACTCCTGCATGGTGGTTCTAATCTGCATCCCGTGTCGTTCGAAGTTTTGTTCCGCTGAAACGCGAGATCATCAATGCCATGCTCTGCTTGGAATGAGTTCGTCAGCGCTGTCGAGTTCGTTCGTCCGGTTCGGCAGCGGATCGAACGTGGCCCGATCGAGCGGCCAGCACTCCTTGCCATGGATGTGAGGTAAAACCTATGACCTTTTAAGAGGTTGGAGGCCATCGCTAGTAGGTTGGAGGCCATTGCAAGTAGGTTGGAGGCCATCACTGGTAGGTTGGAGGCCATCTCTATTAGGTTGGAGGCCATCACTGGTAGGTTGGAGGCCATGGATGTGAGGTATATCCCATGATCCCATGACCTTTGAACGCCCTCGGTTTATATATATTACTATATAGACTAGAGGATATACCCCCGGTGGTGGACATCCAATAGGCGGGCTATGTTATATATATATATATATCCCCGTTCCCAGGCGTTCAGTCGATGATTGTGGTTCAGTTGCAGGCTGACTGCTCAAACATATATAGTCATATCATGTTTTACCGACGTTACTGGCAATGGGACTGGTCGGTACCACGACCCACAGCCACATGTGTTTCTCAATGGTTGATTCGCCGATCGCTGCAAACGACGTGCGAACTGTTGGGGTGCTTAAGCCGCCGAGTCCGGCCACAAGTGGAGGCCGGTCCGACCGAAACAAATCGGTCGCAGCTTCCAGAGTGGCGGTCCTGCCCTGATCCTAGCCTCAGTGGAAAACAATCTACTAGGAAATAGACTCATGAGAGTTCAATGTCGATTATAATTACCCTGGTTTTGATTCTATAGTATAGCAGATCTAAAAAACAGCAGTAGGGGCGGTAAAGGTCATGTTCTAAAAACCATCATATTTACTGCAGTGATTTAGTATAGGGTGGGTCAACGTCCAAAGTATATAGGTGTTTTTTCTAATTTCTTGGGGGAGGCTGCCCGCTTGCACCCGTGCCATAATGCTGGTGTTCAGTGACTTTGCTGTATATTTTTTGCAAATCCAAATCGGCGACCCTGCGGTTGTCCTTGCTGTTCGGATTGTAGCCTCCAAGTGCATTGAACCAACCCGCATACACTTTCACAGGCATGCTTTTGTGACAAGTACCTGTAGGCGGTGACTTGTAAAACAACGTGTTTGTCTAGACTCCAGGGTGCATGAAGGGTGGGCAACCCCTCCCCATGCAGCTTCCGAATTGAATTCTGATCTCATCTTGTCTCGTGACTCTTGACACGTGTCAACCTTTAAGAGACACGTGGGTTCTGTACAGCCCGAGTCGAAAACAGAGCCTCGACGAATGAAACAGTGGCGGACCGTGTGGCGTTCTTTGAGAAGATTTCAATCATGCACCTATAGGATTGTCAGAGCCAGTGGTGAATCAATTAGATACCACATGATACCACTATATTTATGGATGTCACCAGGGCCATCATCAGGTCATCATGTTTACCTGCCCTCTCCCCCGAAAAAAATCATCCCTACTGCACTGCATGTGTGCGTCCAAGACATGAGATGCACATGTTGGGGGTCTGCCGGCAAAATTCAGGTTGTGTGGGTTGGAAAACCCGACGTGTTTCAAGACCTTTTCGAGAGAGCAGCTTCTTCCTGTCAGGATTTCAACGATGGTTCCCGATGGAACTCAGTTGTTTGGAAGGGTCTTACAGTTTACAGTGGATTGAGAGTAAATGGCACAACCCCCAAGATGTCTTTTATATAGGGGTCCATATAAACACCTTTTAGGGATTGCGCCATGTACTCTCAACCCACTAACATGTTGTTTTTTGTTTTAACAAGTTCCGTTGGCAAAACTACCGTTTCATTAGCTCCAATGATCTCACTTCAAACATCTTCAAAGCTTTGACCCTTCGTTAGCTGCTTAGCTCAATGTCACCATTGTCCAACCAATGGTTCAATCTGGGGTTGCTAGTTGGGGCGGTGGAAGTTTTTTTTCCTCCACGGTGTCTTCTATTTGTGCCCTTTGACCCCTTGATCAACGGTTGTTGTGTCTTTCTCCACTTTGGATCAAAGGATCAATCCAATCCAACCGAGTCCAACTCCCTGGATCCAGTTGGCCGTCGAGGCCGCGGTGAAGCAGTGTATGGTGGTGGCGCTGACGCGCACCGTGGGCAAGCATTACAAGGCGCGGACGGACGCGCGCACGCACGCGGTGGAGCGGCTCAGACTGAGCGGCCCGAGCATGGTGGGGAAAAAGGTTAGGCCGATCGGTGATCATTCGCTGAATGTTGTGTGAACCACACGTCAGGTGCTTGGAACGACGCAGGTTTGGTGGAATTGTGGTTCTGGACACCGGCTTTCCGAAGGTTGCGAATGCCTTCACTACCACCTAAGCGAAGCACCACGGTTAAACCCACCAGAACTTGGCAGCACAAACCTGATTGTTCAACAGATGCGATGTGTTCACATGCTTCTTGTATATGTTTTCGACCTCAGTTTCCTAAGTGATGTTGAAGCCCATGTGTCTTTCAGGGGTGAGTGCTGCCTCATCCAAGTGGAATTCCCAGGTGCCTTCGAGGTAGAACAGCCAACCAGACATGTTCCTTTCCCCACATAGACATGTTTCCATAAATGCAGTGCCGACAGGTGTAACATACCTCCAGGTTTAACATGTAGACATGGAATGCCCTATTTCCGGAAAGAGCCACATGATGACGGAAAGGCACCGCAGGCGGCACAGGATCGGTCGAAGAGTCGGAACGCGAGCGTGCGGTAATGCGCGCCGTATTAGGCCTTGCCCGAGCTGGACGATTTCCTCTTGCCTTGCCGGCAGTGTTGATGTTGGAGCGGATGGAGAGTCGAGATAATGAGAAGGGTTGATCGGAAGGATGCACGGAAGCTCTGGAGGGCTGGACTTCCGACTTTTGAAGGTGCCTTCCTGATGCAAGTTGAAAGGCTTGAAACTTACACCATGGCTTGAGGCAACCCTGGCAGGAGAGAATCACATCCCCCAAAGGCCGCAACTCTTCGATTCGAGTGCCTAAGGCTGCCTAAAAGCCATCCTTCATTTGAGGTCACAAATGACAACAGAATCCTTTCCAGTCGTTGAACCTCCCGGAGTTGAGAGACACAGAAACTCAGCATTTTGTTGCACGAAAAATAGACGATGTCGAGTCAGCTTGCAGATTGGTGTCTAAACATGTGTTGAATGAACATGCTTTTGGGTTCTCTTAAGTGCATTCTACATCATCCTACCAAATGTCAGATTGGTTCTTCACTTGTGGAGTTTTGGTAGAATGAACTGAAGACTGCGCCACTGTCTCCAGAATTCTCTCCTGTTGTCTAGTGATTCATTGGTTGGATCGACCTACAAACGTACTCCGGATGGATGTTGGAAGACCCGGATGTTTGCTAGATCCAAAGGATTGGCTGGGTGCAAGTCCAATCTTGGGGGAGTGTACAGTAAGTAGATCGTGTTTTCTTTTGTTCCATGTATTTTCCATTTGGTGACCTTTGTAACCTCCCAATCCTCCCAACGTTCTGCAGGCTTTTGATATCAACAACATTCAACAATCATACGCACACCCCTTGGCATGAATCCACCCACCCGCCAGGCGTATCTTAGACATGTCCATACCTCTTTTGGATGCCGAGCCAGAGACCTCAGGGTGAAGGGGAACTTCCGAAGACCAATCAGTCCCAGGTGGTGTTCACTTCAAGTAACTATGATTCGTTTAAGGAGGGGACATGGATTGTGTTTTGATAGTCCAAGACGAAGAAAAACAGCTTAATCCTCCAATCGGTGTCGTAGTATTTGAACAACTTTGGGATGGATGATTGTAGGTAATATTGATTTGGGCAACTGTCAGGTGTTTTGCTTGCGTTTGTGATGATGGAACATAGAAAGTGAGGGGAGGAGCCTCACATCATGATCAGGCTCTTAGCAGGCGCTCTCCATTTGAGGTTACAATTCGTTTATGATGGATTCGTTCCGCTTTTTTCGCACGAGTAGATGCTGCTGAGCCTCTACTTCTAGCACACGATTGTCCTCAGCAATCCCCATGAAACGATCATCCCCTCGGTACTAGCTACAATAGTCAAGAGCAAGTCAATAGCCCAGATGGAAGCTTTGGGGACCAGGCTGCTTCACCAGAAAGGATGAGTGCTCGATCATCTCGCTGGGTTCAGTTTCGTGCGACGATCAGGAAAGCCAGCGGAGACGCTATCAAACACTTGTCCCAAGAAGAGTGTCTCAATCGCTACAGAACCGTGATGTTGGTGTATGCATGTAGATGGCCCACAATGGAGTAAATTGTCGAAGGGATGATTGCGGCCCCTGCTGTATTTTCGAAGCCTGAGTTCATGAAACGGTATACTGCTGCTGTTGCCGCTGCTGCTGCCAGGAAGGCTATGGAGTCTGATCTCGTGGAAGAGTTTTTTGACTCGAATCACACAGCCTCAGTCCCATTTGAATGACAGCCTCGTGCTTTCGAGCAGCCTGAGAAGCCGCCGCTCAACCGACTTCGGAAAGCAGCGTTTGATCCCATTGATATGCGCATCCTAAACCCTGCTGAGCATCCGAGGTATGTTCTTAAGTGGGCGCCGAACGCATCAACAGAAGCTGGCGAAGGGAACAGCGTCTTTTTTTTCCATGACAAAGGTCGAAGACGAAGATGAAGGATCAGTCGTCGAAGAGTCCATGGCCCAATGTCATCCAACACCTTGGTCTTTTGGAGTTTGGATGCCGTGCGCCAGAACGAATGACTTGCCGTTCCGAGACAAGACATGGGTTCGGGTC